AGTTCAAATCTTACCTTGTGTATATAGTCGCGTTAAATTTTAGGATCAGTTAAGGAAAAAAAAAAAAAAACTGATTCGGTAGAAAAATACTTACGTGTTGATTTTTTTTTTTTAAACCTCCTTCCTCATCATTTTTTTAGAATGAACTGATTATTGAAACGTTTGATGACAATGTACGTAGTTTCTGGAATTTTTGGTCCCACTTTGAAAGAAACTACAAATTAGGGTTTTTTTTTCCCTCTGAAACATGTAACATGCTCACGTGCTAAATTGTTGGCATTTGGCATCCAACACCATTCTACCTTTCCTCAATTATCACGGAATCAAGGTACGGATTTTAAATAATTAATATTACCTCGTGGAAAAAAAAGAAGAAGAAGAAGAAAGAACTATTAAGAGAAATTAACTGGAGTATGTAAACATTTTTTCACACAATGACCATCTCAATGATATGTTATGTTAAAATACTGAAAATATATAATACAATGATACATCAATATCAATCAAGTACTTGATAACAGTGTAAATCAAAGAAATTTGCATCAAACAATGAAACATGAAAACATGCATATGTAAGTCTGTCAAACTTAATATGAGCATGTGAGTCAACACGAATGCGAAGTTGAATTATCATAGGAACATTAATTAATTAGTATAAGAGACAACAACAGAAAATTGCGTATGATGAATGGAGTGCATGAAGAGATTCTTGGCCTGTGAAGTGGGGCTGTTACACAAATGGGACAGATTGTTTTAAATAGATTGATTTGGTTAGTGCCCCAAACTTGAAGTCACGTTGGAACGAAAATTATGATTAAGAAACATAAAGTGGTTAATCATGCCTTTATTGGGTTTTGACAACTTATGTTATGGGTGTGTGTGTGTATTAATTAATTAATTGGTTGCTGCTGATTCAGAAAGTTAGCTAGCAATTAATAAGCAATAGCTTAAACGTCTTTCTTTATCAATGCACCGCCCACAGCATATAGCATCTTATTCTTCCACAATTGGATGCAAAGCTCAAGATATCTTCATTTTTAGTTCATTAGTTAACAATTTCATGACAAACCCTTAAGTGTGCTCATCTTATTCTCCCACAAAATATATATATATATATATATATATATA